CACCAATTTAATATTATTGTATTTTTGTTAGTAGAAAATTAGATATTTGATTTTCAGAAAACCTTAAATATATACATTATTATCAACTATTATTTTGATTATTATTTTAATCTGCCAAAAGTACATCTGATTTTTTTTTGGAATACTTATAAGTATCTAACTAATTCAATTAGTGCTTACAGTTAGGCATTATTGCAAGATTATTCTATTAAATTTAGCTATTTTCATTAAGTTTGGCTGTCAAATCATTTGTTGATAAATATTAATCAAGCACCGCAATCAAGTATCATAGGCTTTGAAAGAAGGTGTAGTAGGATAAGAATTTGAATATAAATACATGATTTGGGATTTTCAAAATAGTAAATTCAATAATCAGAAAGGTTGCTTCACTAAATTTAGGTAACCCAATAATCGATAATTTTCATATCGCTGAATATACTTGTATCATCACGACAATTATTGCTATATTCTATTAGAATTTTTAAAAGATCATTAAAATATTATAATCTAATAGAGAATTATCGAATTATCGTTGAGAATACTACGATTCTAATTATCAATACAGAAATATCAAAAATAAACATAGATCTGATAAACTTCTACTTCAGTAGTTTTAGAGAAATATAAAGCTTTTTTTGAATGAAGAACTAAATAACATAATGTAAACCTTGAAAATATAATAAGGATTAAAGTAGAATATAAGAATTAAGTAAAATTAAAATTAATTTACAATAATAAAGATGGAGGATCAACAAAATAATTTAAAGAAACTATAATTTGAAAGAATAATTACAAATGGAGGTTAAAACTTTACGTTGTGATGCCTCTTAGAATTTGTACAATTTTTAAGGATAATAAAAGAATCTTTCAAATTTTTTAAATCTGAATTATGATAATTAAATTTGATATTTTCAAATTGAAATATTTAGTTCTACACACTGGTTTCTAAGAAAAATCAGAAATGTGATTTACTTTTTTAGGCATGTGATATAATATGCTATAATATGGCTGCAAATGATGAAATTAAGAACATTTTTGCATGAAATAAGATCGTATATTATTTTTATTATCAGATTAAACAAAGCTAGATGAGCGTAAAGCTCGTTCACGAGTATCACTGTTATACCTTGCGAAAGTTGGTTGTAGTAACAGTAATTCTGGATAATTATATATTGGTATTATGCAACAGAGTATTCATAGAACATAAAATTGAATATTAAGGGAGCAGCAAAAACATTAAATTCAAAGAAAAAAAAAGATGATTTCTGATTTAGCTGCAGTCTAAAAGCTAAATGGACAAAAAAATAGAACAATCAAAGAGTTATCAGTAATCAATCAAGTTAGGCAAGCGTCACATGAATATTCAAAGCAACCACTAAATAGAAGATTCCTAAGAGTTGGAACTTTAATATAAAAAAAAAGTTTAGTGACAGGTTGCACATATATATGATCAAAGTTAAGATCTTATTCGGCAAGATACTAACAAATGTTCGAGTAGTAACATAACTAATATCCATAGATACAAACCAGGTACATACTTTCTGTTGCATGTAAAAAGAAAACACTTCATTTCAATTTTTTATGAAATGCATAATAGCAAGAAGTAGCCACAAATAAATCATGTACTACATTAATCATATGTTATAAGAACTGTAATAGAATAAAGGATTGGCAAGGGTAATACTATCTTGTAATCATATGCTGGAATTATCCCAGCAATCAAAAAACGTATCTATCTTTGCTCTCCTTGTATTTCATTCTATACTGCACCATACAATTAATCAAATGCATTCTCTATATTTCTTTGATACAAGCAGCTGCATTATTTAATTTTTTAAAATCATCTAGCTCTTTGACAATTTCTGCTATTTATTTTATGTTCTTATTGTGCAAAAATTATAGTACCAATTGGAGATCGCGCAACTATTAAGCATACACCCTACTTAATAGGGATCTTTCAATATCTTTAGCCCTGATTCTATCTAATGCACATAATGCTTAAACAGCTGCATATTTGTAGACACTTGCACCATTGTATTTGGTTGCCTATGGGTATTGGCCTTGCTTTATGTGATGAAGCCGTTAAAAACCCATACAATTGACCTATTGCAACACTTAATGTAACAGTTCCTGTCATTTAGCCTGGAATAAATCAAAGTTGGAGATACCTTTTTAGGTTCATCGCTAGGATTGGTTGCCTTAATATTGTCTAAATTTTACATATAAGAATCTCCAAGATACCTACTATTAGAAGGCAAATACTATGTGGCTTTCCAAATTATAAAATTGATGATACAAACTAATAAAACTAAATCTGCAAAATGAATCAAAAATAATTATGTATTTTGGATATCATAGTCACTTACGTATTTTGGATATCATAGTCACTTACATTCAACATCTTTCTGATGGCAGTCAAGTTAAATATATATATACATATATATTAGAGCCAAATGTAGGAAACAACATTTAAGATAATGATATCTGTGTATTGCTTAGGATTTTGACTTATATAGCATATAGACACAAAAGTAAGGATTTCAATGTGATATACGTGTTCATTATAAAGACTGGATTTGTCTCTTCCCTGAGAGTTTATAAGAGCCTAATAAATAGACATTTAGGGTTGCATTAAACACATTAAGAGGGCCTATCTTTAAAATTATTTATTGTAAAGATACAAAAGAAATAAGTAGTGTCAGAATAAGATTTGAAATAATTTGCTTTTATTTACAACACATTTACAAGAAGAATTTTAATTCTAAAGGAAAGCAGTATCATAAGACCTCTTTTTTTTTGTGGTTTCAGGCCAGCTTTAAAGATTCCAACACAATTAGCATTACCGCCTGCACATACATAAAGTGTGTTTGATATAGGGACTTCGAATACAAATATAAATTTTGGTTGTGCAAAAAGGTCAGTTTTATTAACTATTCATCAATAGCAAGTAAAGTTTGCTCCTCTTATTGTATACTTACCAGAATATTAAATGCAATAGTTGTAACCAAAGGATAATGACTGATAATTTGTAGTATGAATTTAGTTGTATCCCAAGAAGATACAATGTAGTACCTATATACTCAAGGTAAAATCATTTTTTATGGAAATTGAAATACTTCTCATGAGACGCACCCTTTAATTAAGTAGTTAAATGCCCTAGGTCAAAAGATTTAGAAGTCCAAGTAAAAATTTAAACCTCAGTGAAGTTAAAATTAAATTATATTTGATATACCAATTTAGTCATTAATTTCTATTTGTAATTCTCTGCCTCAATACTCCATCATTATCTACTTAATTTTATAAAAGAAAGCTGAAAAAAAATTCATCAGATTAATCATACTTTTTTATAAATTAATAGAAAAAACATTGGCTCTGTTAGAAATCTAGTAAAAATTTTGTAATTCTTTCAATTTCCACGTTTCATAATTGTAGCATCATCTTTGTAGATGCATGTGGTGTGCATCATCTAACGGCTCCTCTTTTGATAGTTAATTTTGATCTACAAAAATAATCAGGTTAAAATCTAATCAGATGCCAATATCTATAAAGCAAGTGTAATCACAAATGCATTTATGAACACAAGTATGCGACATCAAGCAGTTAATTTGGGATGGAACACAAGGTAAAAAAATCTTGTGTATTTCAATTAATGGATTGAACTTGAAGAAGATTACTTGTAACCAGAATCAGGCAAGAAAACCAACAAGCAGCATACTCAGCCATATAATTTTTCAAAAAGAACTGCACTACAATCAGGATATCAATCTGTTGTACGAAGAACAGTATGTAGTTTCCAAAAACTCTTGTAAATTTATGCAGAGGACGATTTGTACTTTAATAGTTTAAAATATAAATAGAAGAATGAGACTGAATTACAAATTTACCATTTATACAAATCAAATTCATTATTTCGATCAAAAGAAAAAATGCCATTAATGAATTAACAGAAATATTAAGTTAAGCAGATAAATTCCAAGCATTAATTGAAAAGTAATTTAATACAAAAACACAAGACCTTAATTAACTGGAAATTATTTCAAATAATTTAGGAAAACTATTATAAAATGATTTATTAGGTACTCATAAGATTCATAAGATCATAAAGGAATAAAGTTTTAAATCTGCTGATGCAAAAATGTAAAATAATGAAATTCTACAAAATGAGAATCACATTTAAAATCAATAATCAATTAAGTAACTTAATTTATAAGTGCAACATCTTAAGATATATTAGGAAATCTTAAATGANAATTTTGGTTGTGCAAAAAGGTCAGTTTTATTAACTATTCATCAATAGCAAGTAAAGTTTGCTCCTCTTATTGTATACTTACCAGAATATTAAATGCAATAGTTGTAACCAAAGGATAATGACTGATAATTTGTAGTATGAATTTAGTTGTATCCCAAGAAGATACAATGTAGTACCTATATACTCAAGGTAAAATCATTTTTTATGGAAATTGAAATACTTCTCATGAGACGCACCCTTTAATTAAGTAGTTAAATGCCCTAGGTCAAAAGATTTAGAAGTCCAAGTAAAAATTTAAACCTCAGTGAAGTTAAAATTAAATTATATTTGATATACCAATTTAGTCATTAATTTCTATTTGTAATTCTCTGCCTCAATACTCCATCATTATCTACTTAATTTTATAAAAGAAAGCTGAAAAAAAATTCATCAGATTAATCATACTTTTTTATAAATTAATAGAAAAAACATTGGCTCTGTTAGAAATCTAGTAAAAATTTTGTAATTCTTTCAATTTCCACGTTTCATAATTGTAGCATCATCTTTGTAGATGCATGTGGTGTGCATCATCTAACGGCTCCTCTTTTGATAGTTAATTTTGATCTACAAAAATAATCAGGTTAAAATCTAATCAGATGCCAATATCTATAAAGCAAGTGTAATCACAAATGCATTTATGAACACAAGTATGCGACATCAAGCAGTTAATTTGGGATGGAACACAAGGTAAAAAAATCTTGTGTATTTCAATTAATGGATTGAACTTGAAGAAGATTACTTGTAACCAGAATCAGGCAAGAAAACCAACAAGCAGCATACTCAGCCATATAATTTTTCAAAAAGAACTGCACTACAATCAGGATATCAATCTGTTGTACGAAGAACAGTATGTAGTTTCCAAAAACTCTTGTAAATTTATGCAGAGGACGATTTGTACTTTAATAGTTTAAAATATAAATAGAAGAATGAGACTGAATTACAAATTTACCATTTATACAAATCAAATTCATTATTTCGATCAAAAGAAAAAATGCCATTAATGAATTAACAGAAATATTAAGTTAAGCAGATAAATTCCAAGCATTAATTGAAAAGTAATTTAATACAAAAACACAAGACCTTAATTAACTGGAAATTATTTCAAATAATTTAGGAAAACTATTATAAAATGATTTATTAGGTACTCATAAGATTCATAAGATCATAAAGGAATAAAGTTTTAAATCTGCTGATGCAAAAATGTAAAATAATGAAATTCTACAAAATGAGAATCACATTTAAAATCAATAATCAATTAAGTAACTTAATTTATAAGTGCAACGTCTTAAGATATATTAGGAAATCTTAAATGAAGCTTTACATTAGTATAATTAAATAATATTATCAATAAATAATTTATAGACTGAATTATAACAAGTACAATTTTATTAATTTTAATTAGTTTAATCAATATGTATAATAATTAGAAAACGATTTTGGTTTAATGATAAAACTAACCTAATTTGATAAAATTTAAGATGAACTAAATTAAAATAAGCAAGATAAAGAATCCTTATTATATTAAATTAAATAAAATGAAAAGACTATTTAATTGAATGAATAAATGATAATTAACTTTAAGAAACATGATGAACAATAAATTAAGATAATTTAAGATCTAAAGAATCAAAAACAAGAATTGTCAATTAAACTAAAAGAATTTGAGTAATAAAGTAAAAATACATTAATTTCTTATAGAAATATCCTTTGAAGTTAAACTTTAAGAAAAGGAAGGAAGCTTAGAAAAATGCTAATTATCAATTCAAAAGAATGAAGAAATTGTTTAAATAATTAAAATAAAATTTGGTATAATTAATATATTTATTAGAAGTAGGTTTATATATTCTCAAATTAACTAACTTTCACAACAACTTATAAACATAATGCTGGTTCAGTAACTTAGAATGGAAAAGTTATTGAGAATGCATCTGGTGCTTGGTGTTGTTGTATGTGTAATTAAATGATTCCTAAGAATGGAGTGATCTAATTTGCTTTTAAAATTATTGAAATAATTTCTATTATGATTGGAATTGGTTTTAGGGATATTGTTTGGAGTAGGAATTATTTTAATTGTTTTAATATTGGTGGAGGGTATGTGTTATGATATTAATAGTTTAAAATAGAACATATAATATATCTTATCCAGGTATTTGTTACAATCATGATTAATAAGATAAAGATGATAAGAAAATAGCATTTCCATTTTCAACAAATGATATCATAATTGTAGAAGTAGATATAGAAAAGTAGTATGAGAAATGGACAAAGTAATCCACAAATGAATCATTCGTATCAATTTTAATTTATTATTTTAGACTCTCACCATTATTACATCCAAAGATTTGTATCCATGTGTACATCTTTCTGGTAAATGCAAAGTAGAGATATTAAATTAAGTATTTAAATGATTCAACATTCATTATTTAAATTATAATCATCTTAAATACATTCTTAAACAATGTTGACAATACCAGAAAAGAGCAATTCTATCTTTCAATAAATATTTTAAATTATGTATTCTTAATGCAATGAACTCATAACAAATGATCAAATGGAATTACTGTAAAATTTTATTTAAGTGAAATTTTGATTTAAATTGTGATTTAAATATGATGAATTACAGCTTAAGCATAGCTAAGTTAATCAAAAAATAAGTTTATTTTGATATATTTATTTAGATTGTTTATCTTTAAACAAAATAGATAGGTACTTTTGAATTTAATTAAATAATACTTGAAAATCATTTTCTCCCTTAAAGTTAGCATGATCTGCCTTTTAACGATCATTTGAAATTTTCATAGCAATGATTTTTGTGTTTGCTCTTGCTTCAATACAGAGCAAGTTTTTAATAAAGTTATTACACACAGTCAAGGACAAATATTATTAGATTCAATTAGTTTCTTGTGTAATAAAAAAAGAAGATTGTTAAATTATATCTTTTAGATTGTTAAAGATCAAAAGTTGTTCCCATACTCAATGTTAGGTGAAAATTGCCCACTATTGTAAATTGAAATTTTCAAATAGTTTATCAACTCTTTATCTATTCACAAACCTTCCTTTTTTTAAAGTAGTTTGGGGCTTGCATGATGAGCCAATTATATTTTAATTCATGACCTAGTTAAGTTATTTAAATAGTGGTTTATTAGGGATGATTGAAAATTAAATTGGCCATAATTATATATGGATTGGAGTGTTTGTAACTTTCAAGATGAATAATTTTTCAATTTTATTAAATTTATACATTTAATAATAGAGAAAAATTTCACTATCAAATTAGAAGTTAAGTATTTATTAAAGGGGAGTCTTCGACTGGTCATTTTAAGTTCCATGATTATGCATGTAATCAGCAATCTTTTAAAAAAGAGACGCGATTATGAAATAGAAATTGGAAGTAATTGTTCATTTGATTAATTAATTCAATAAAAATTAAAATAAATTATAATTATGATATTTATAAACAAAAGTAAAATTTACTTTAATTTTAGAAACCGTAAACTTTATCAATAAAGATACAATTATGAAGAGGTCTTCCTAAAACTAATGGTCGAAGAAAACATTGATAGCCCTCAAACTATCTCATTTGTGAAGCATAAGTTTGATTGAACATTCTGAGTAATTGATATATCGATTTCATATCATATCTACAAGGTTAAACTCCTTAGACAATTGTATCTGGAGAATTACAATCTATATTATTAAGGACTAGCATTATGAATATCTTCTGTTGCAATTAATAGGAATACTCGCAAAAGAATTACAAAATTCTTCGAAGCTTTAAATTATAATTAGATAAGTAGCTTAATCCTTGTATATGATAAGAATTCTTGGTGACTCAATAACTAATGAGTTAGTAAAGAAGATAAGGTAGCCAAATTATGATCCACATTTAGAGTAACATTCCAACTCATATAACCAAATTCTTTCAAGTTATTCTTATTATCAAGATATCTAATCTAGAATCCAAAGTACTCATGTTCTCAAAGTTTTCTTTAAAACCTTTAAATAAACATCCACCTGAATATAACAATCTAAACAGAATGGAGAATAACTTGAGAGATTTTTCAAACACTACTTCCATAGTCAATGGCAAGGTCAACTTTAATTTAACGCTATGACTTAATTAATTGACCTATTATAGGAGGCAATAAGATAGGAACTAAAAAAAATGAATCGGCCATGTCATGAGTCACACAAACTTAAAATTGAATTATGAAATAAAAGGAAGTCCCATTAATTCTCAAACTATTGACCTCTAAAGATATAAATTGAGATGCTAGAAAGGGCTTATCCAAAGTCCTGTAATAAATATACATACCTTCAAATTAACTATCCCATTGCTAATGGTTTGAATACTTAAAGATACAAAACAACCAAAATTTTCATGGAATTTAAACTTCTTGACTATAAAATAATTGTCAACAAGAATTATTCTGATGCTACTAAGGCTTCTAAAGCATTACCATTTTATAGAGATTCAAACTAATTTTATCATATAGGGTTGCACTCAAGAAACCTACAACATTATCAATAATAAGATTGAATCTTGTATTTATTACATTTAGGAGATGAATTAATTTGTTGTCATAAAAATATTTCTCTCATTACTTATTTACTACTATAATAAGAATAAAAGAAAAATAGAATTATTTTACTTGTAAGGATATTCCAGAGAATATGATATATTTCAGTGAGATTAAGTTAATGATCGAGCAAGAAATAAAAAGACTGTCTCTTATGATTTTATTCCTCTGGAAAAACTTTTTAGCCTTAATGAAATTAAGCTCTGAGGATAATTTTAATCAATTGCTTTAACTTTAATTTAACTTCAGTCTGAGCTTTTTGGTAATAATTCATTTTATTGAACTATTGAAGCTTTCTTTATATCTAGATTTATGAAAATACATACATACAAACTCATTCTGTCAAAGTTAATGAATTACAAATGGCAAAGTATTCATCTTTGCATACCTCTCCTATGATTAAAATACAGTTGGAAGGTAGGTACCTTCAAAATCCTCATAAAAAAAAAATATAAAGAAATGTTTTTGAAGATTAATTATATGTTTTGAATGGTTGGATGAGCAATTTTCCATTATTGATTCTAAACAGTAAGTTTTAATTTCAAAACTGCAAAATAAGACTTTTTGATAGATTTGCTCTATTTTGGCATTTATTTTGATCAGCCAATAAATAAACCTAATCGTTATAACTATTCAAGATTGTTGCGAAAGGAGGCTGAAAGATGATAAGATACAAAAATTCTTGAAGCTACTTCGAGTTTTGCTATGCTGACGATGCTTTCTAAAATCATTTTAAATATTGTGCTAACTTGATAGTATGGCATTCTTTAACCTATGCTGAGGAGTTTTGGATTTGAGGTAAACATTAGGAAATCAGATTACATCACTAAACTCTTAAAAAGTTGAAATCTAGAGAAACTAAAGTATTCTTGGGTCTGCATTTTCTCATGAGGGATTATAAATGAATATAGAAAATTGATTAATAAAGGTAAAGTATTTTGTGTAACTAATAAGGCAATCTAAGTTGTATTCTTCTTTAAGACATTTGGCTTAGTAATGGTTGTCACTATCATTTGAACAAAATGCGAGAGGTAGCAATTTTTTCTCTTCAATCTAAGCATCATTATCTTTAAACAGATTATGGAAAAAAAGCTTTTAGCAAATATGAATAAATTTCTTATCTGCAGGAAACTATTGACTAAATACTTAGGATAACCGCAAATTGATGTTAATGATGAATTTTAGACAAATCTTCTCACATTAAACTAATTATCTCTTCATTTAAATTATCTTTACATTTGAGTCCTATTAGAAAAATTAATGCTATCAATCCAAACTAATTGACATATAATTTGGGCTGGTAAATGAAACCATAGGATTTTGCTTTGTGCTAAATTAATTTTATACTATTAAATTAACTTGCACCATTTAAATAAATTACAAAAATTATATGAGGAATGCGCTTCAATAGATTTTATTAACCATATTTCAACAGAAAATCCTATTTTAAGTTTAAAAATAAAACTTTTCATTTGGGGTACTTTTTTTTAAATTATTGGCGTACTTTTGTGTTCAAGTAATTAGTTTTTGTTAACGAGTCATACTTAAAATAATTAATATTTACTTATTGAAAACCAAATGTAATCTGAATGATAATCAAGAGACATATCATCATTTATCATGGTATGATATCATCAGCTTTCCACTGTATGATAGTCGAAATATGAGTACTAGAGTATCAATTCTTATCTTTATTAAAATTGAATATTTATCATATTATTTATTAATATTTGGCAAGGATAAGTGTCAGTATAATAACTCTTTGGACATGATTGAGAACATTAAGTAGAGGTCCATTAATTAATCATTGCCAATAGAAGAAGAATAACAATTACTAGCTGGGCTTTGCACATTTTCATATGGCATAGCAATGCTTTATATTTGGATATTAATGACATATACATTAAATATAGCTGCAATTTGTAGATCTTAAGTCGCTGGAAATCATTCTAGGGTTTACTCTCCTTTTTTTTACTTTTTCCTCTCCATCCTATATCTCCTGTTAGTAGTATATTGCTAGATGTATTAGGAGCTATCTCATGTGTGCCTCTTGTCATTTTCTATATTGAGCTACTGAAGATAATTATTCTGATGGGTTTTTAGTTCATGCTGAGAATGAATATTGAAAATTTCTGATACGTGAAAGTAATGCAGAAATTCTTCAAAGCCATTTGTGATTTATTAGTTATTAATATCCTTGTGCTTTTTCACCATTCTAAATTTCATTTTATAAATTAAACTTCGTAAGCATGAATAGCATAATTTATTTGGATTATGATAATAAATAATGTGATAGGAATAGTTGTAGTAAAATGATACACCTAGTTGTTGTATGATTATTATAAGGGAATAGAGTAACGTTTGTGAAAATGGAGAATCATCAATATTATTGTAATTGGAATAATATTATAATTGTCTATGTAACCATTAAAACCTAGTATTTCACTTGACAAAAAATGTAATATTAAAGGAGTAAGTGAATTGTGCGTTCCTTCTTATATATTTAAAAACTCACTCAACTAAATAACATAATACAAAGTCTATTCTAACTTAGGAAAATTCTCAGCTGCTCTGATATTTGTAAAGATTTTTTCCCTTTTTATAACATAAATCTCAAAATTCAGCTAAATTTGTAATTTAATGAGAATCTACTGAAAAGCTTAAAAGTAATTTTCAGATGTTCGTTTAACCTCAACCACTTCAACCGCAATGATCCTTGTAAAATGAGTAAAGTTAGTATTCTTACTTAAGGGTCCTATTGATAATCTCGTTAAACAATATATTTTAATGTGGTTTCATGACATTAGAGCTCATCTTCTTGTTTATAT